AGTTCTAATATAAATATTTTGATTTAGCAGCATGAAGAAATCGATCAAGATGGTAATATATTTTTTTTAAATCCTGCAGACATGTAATTAGAATGTTGCATTTTCTAATTTTGCAAATGGCAGGCTGATTTCCTTTTTTATAAAAATGATGCATGAAAATCATTTAAAACTCACAGCCAATATTATAATCCACAGGATAGACTTTCCAAAGTTTGTTCCTCTGATAAAGGTTCACAATCTAAGGAAAACTTCGATAAAAAATTTAAAGACGTTGAAAGAAATAAGGGTAAGAAGTTGGCTGACTAAGCCCTCAGACAGGCAGAACCAACATCATCTGTACGACAATATATATCATATTGGGAATGGCTAATTAAAAATAAAATTTACTTTAAATACACTAAAACCAATGGTTTAAGAAATCTGAAGTACATGAATGTCAGAATTTACCTCTAGAGCAGCTATCAGTTTATTCATTACTTTATATTTTTAAAAACATCTACATAAATCCTAGGACTGACGGAGAGCTTGAAGTGCCACAGCTTTAGAATTGACACACATTGACATAGTAGTTTTATTTGAGATCAGTATGCAAGTATAAAAATGGTTCAAATTATGGAAATAAAAAGAGTACATACATGGATTTAAAAAAAAAATGAAAATGACAGAATCGTCTACATTGAGCCTTCATTTCCAATACACATAATACATACTAAACAAAATCTTACAGTACCTACAATCATTCACATATCTATACCCTGCTCAAAATACTTTCTTGATGGCAGTGCACAACCTCATCATATAAGCACAATTCAACGTAGTGAATAATGTCATTATTAGCATCATATGTTAACAGTGCAACACTTTGTAATTGACAATATGATTAGAATGAGTTTAGTCAAGTAATTTCTTTTAGATTCAGACTCCTTTTAAAAAATCAATTACAAGTGGTGAGTAGAGCTCATTATTTTAGAATACAAGATGCAGAGGAGTGACTTACACATGAAATTGTCAACATTATACTGAGGAAATCGAAAATTTCTAGTTCAAATGAAAATGAAAACAACACAAAGCGCCAACAAGACAATTGTTACACTGGCAAATATGCCTACCCAGAGACCTGCATTGCGGCACAGCCGCCGAGGCCGCCGTCACATATCCATGCCATGCTGGCCGTTAGGGACAGCAACAACCTGGTGACCAGCTTGGAGGACACCCTGATGATCATCTGCTAATGCTTCAACATCAGCATCAATAGCATCAGCTACATTAGTACTAGCCGTGATGGTGTTGGCTGTGATCAGAGCACTACTTCGCCTTGCTTTTGAAGAGAAGCACAGACATCCTGCACTGCTTCTTTTCAGAAGCGGCCTTTCTTCTTTTTCTCTCTCTGAAGCACACTTTTCATAATAGTCATAATCTTTCAGGTACCTGTATTCAAATAATAAATATGTAGATAGATAAATTAATTAAGAAATACTAAGACTGACTAAAATTCTGCAAATAACAAAATGCAGTAACTCACCACACTGGGGGCCACCTATGCTCACTGAGATACTCCTGATTTTCTGGATGCAACTGGCGAAGTAGTTTTGGAGATCTCTTGCATAATTTGTTATAATTTGTACATAAGTGATTCATGCACCAATCAGCCAACTGGTCTGCATTGTGCAGCTGGAAATCAATAAAGGTAGATAATTATATTTTACTATAGTATTACAAATATTTTCATAGTAATACCACTACTATTACTCCATACCTTGCATGGTTCCAGCAGTCTTAAACAATGTTCTACAACATCACCTTCTGAACCACACTTTGCTGTCAGTTGTTCCACTACCTTTTGCTCAATCAGAGTAATAAGACGTGGTAGACACAAACGGTTAGCAACTTCTAATAATTCTAAGCACTTCAGGTAGGATACGGCTCCACCAAGCTCATCAGTATAAAGATAGGTCAAAAGTTGCACGAATGTATCTTGTGCTACTCCTGGAAAAACAATCTGCAAAATTCAATATTATGATAATTAAACCAAGACTGTGACAATAAAAAAATTAATTCATACACATTGGAATCATTTTTGTTTCTTACCACTTTAGCACTACTTTCTCGAAAATCTCCTGAAAACATTGCTTTGAACATGTCACATCTCGACATAAGGAGAGCTCGATGTACAGGATACAATCCATCATCTAACTGAAACCTTACATCTGAGAAAAGGCCTTGACCGACACAAAGCTCTCTCAAACGTTTTCGCAAGTCCTATCAATCAAAGAAAATATTAGATTAAATTCTTCACTTTCAACAATTTATACACTTCTGACAATTTCCCACTCCTACAACTTTTCTACTACAAGGAAAAAAATAAAAATGTGACCCTTTGCTTTATCTATTCTAACTATGTGTTTTACCCCTGAACATCCAATACATAAGTAAGGGTTTTTTTTTGTGTGTTTTTTTTTTCAAACAAAATTGAAGTATAGTATTTTAGACATACCTGGCGATACTGCACCTTCAATTCAGTGTTAAGAAACTCTTCTCTGGAATGGACATTTGATACAAATAGATAGAGATCAGATAACTCCAGAAATTCAGCAGCTTGTCGGATTTCCTGCAAAAGGATAGGAATTAGTAAAAAAAGATTCTAATAATTCTGATAAGTTTTTAAAGACAGTAGCGTTTTATTTTTGAGTTTGGTTATTCAAGACACTTAATTAGATATGAAAAAGTAAGAGAGATAAGCATCATAGCATTAAACAAGAAGATTTTTAATTGTTTCATACAATAATTACCAGTAAGAGTCCAATAGGAGCAGTCTGAAAGCAGAATAGAGCAATCAATAGAACAATAGGAATTTAAAGACCCACTGAACCTGAAGAAAGCAAGGCAACAGAGAAATTATGTGAAAGTAAAGTATTGCTGCACAAACCTGCAATTCACAGTAGCGGCTGTCAATAGTTCCTGTGTACATGAATTGCAAGACTTGATTCATTGCTTGAGGAGTAATGAGCTTGGAGAGAGTGATAACAGTTTGCAGAGATGAACTTGGGTTTCCTCTATGGTCAAGACCCTCATACTGAAATAAGAAATAGGAGTTAATTAAAATTTTCAATATAAAAAAAAAATAAAAATGCACAATTGAGTAAGTACGTTATTGTACTTATGTTTTATGTTGTTGCTTACCTGTTGAACTCGAATTGACGTAAACGCTGGGTGATCCATATCTCGTGAAATGTCTAATCTCCTATTGCTGTCACAAGACAAGACTTGACAGCTAGATCGACGTTTAATCTGTTCCCACACCCTGCTGGTACAAAACACAGAGAGTAAATATAAGAGGCCTTTAACATAGTTGAAATGAATACTGATTCAAATGCTCTCTTCTTACATTGAGGGTTTCCCGATTTCTGTCCTGATTAAATGTTCAGTGTCATCATTGAAATCTCCTTGTGTTGCTTCACCAAAAGTGCTGACCTGTTACAAAAGTTTCAAAATTAGAGGGAAAGGCATATTTTACACACAAATGATTTGCAAAAATTAATTGATTAGTACCATAGAAGATTCACTTGAGCTGCGTGTGCTCAATTCATTACTAAAATCTGTCAAAAGAAGTCTGTGCAGAAGAGGGGATGCAGCTGCCAGTATAAAACGATGAGCTAAGAAACCAACTGACCCCGCATTAAATAAAACATCTGTATGTGCTTGCTGCAAAAACATCTCTCTTATGTGATCATCATAAGAGCTTGAAGAAACATGAATTTCTGGTATTGGTGGTTTTGGTGGTTTAAAGGGTGCCTGAAAAAGGAAAAGTATTTTTCGTCAAAAATACAGTAAATTTTGAGTAAACACATTCTTAATTCAAACACATATACAATAAAATACAAACACACACCTGCAAAAGAGGTCTCTGAACCTTTTTTAGATTTGTCATCCAAAACCTCTGTTGTCTTCTTGCCATAAGTGCGGAACGAATTGCATTTTCAAATACCTCATTAACACCATAGTATGAGAGAACACTTGTTTCATAATAATGCACTCCCAGCTCACGTGCAACAGCCCTAGCTTGGTCAGGCATAACTAAATCACTTTTCCGTGTTGCTCTGTAGAGTAAGAAACAGTACAAAATCAAATATATTTATTCCTTCTCCTTCATTTTAATTTTTATTAAGGTATAAATGGAAGAGGGAACACTACCTTAGGAATGATCCATTTTCTCTGAAGATGCTGAGGTATGCCTCATCTTGGTACATGTATCTCAAATCATTCTTGCATCCTACTAGTAAAACTGGTGTCTGTGGGCAGAATCTTCGAATTTCAGGATACCACATAGCTTTACAATTCCGAAGGGATATTGGTGAGGTAACAGAAAAGCATAGTAGTACGACGTCTGACCTGCAAGTTTAAATTGTTAAACAGTTCTCACAAACTAAAATTTACAAAAAAGCTCAGCAAGATTTTACATTGTGTCTTCAACCTACCTTCCATAGGCAAATCTTCTATCTTTCTCATGGTCCCCAAAAGTATCCCAGAGGCGGAGAGAAACATTGACACCATCAACAACTTCCCATGACCTTTCCAACACCTTTCAAAATAGAGAAACATTGATTTTAAAGGCTAGAATAATTTAAAACTTATATTGGTATAATGTAATATCCTCTTACATCTTTATAGATGCGGTACTGGTCAATAGCCCAGACAGTTGGAACATGGGTTGTGAGCAGTTGTGAAAGGGAAACTTGCTTATTGCATGCTCGAGCGCAGATGAGTCTTGTTTTACCAACAGCTGTGTCGCCTACCACCACGCACTTCACCAATTCCTGATGGGGTTGTTCATAATCCATTATAACCCATTACCTCTCACTGTCTAAAACAAAAAGAGAAAAATACATAAATGTCATTAGTCACAGACGAGATAGTTATTGTAAGGTTCATAGACTCTCATGCGATGTCATGCATCAGAAGATGAACAGAGTGCAACTTTAGTGATTACCTGAATACTAAAGGCAGGACCGTCCTACTTTTAAATTAAGGCCGGCAAAATGGAAGTTGACTAATTACCATGATAGTAATACCCCCCCCCCTCTCCTTCCAATCTTGCAACAAAGCATTCTAATAAGTAGAGTATGGAAAGAAAGAGCTAAAGCTTAAGACCCAAACAGAAGGGAAGACCAAGCGGGCCAAACACCTTGTCCGCCCACCGGCCGGTGTCTGGTGGTAGGGGAAGTCACCGTGCCCCCCCCCCCCTCTGCCCCCTCATTCGCTGCACGTAAACAAACCTCACTTCGCGCGCCGGCCGCGCCGCGCCGGCTGGGCTCCTACTCGGCCCGCAGCTGCCAGGTGGGGCCCGCTTGAAGAGTCGCACCTAGTGACTCGGCAGTGAACCACGAGAGCGAATGTCTGACGTAGGCTTACGTTTCAGCAACAGAGACTCGGGCGTATGTTGGCGCGCGGACCACAACTCCGTTGGTCGCGCCATAAGACGCCTTAAGTCCACAGGTGAGGGGGGGGGACGTCGCGGAAGGGAGCGCGCCACCTCTTTTTAGACAGTCCACAAGACTGTCTCTACCAGGTGGAGGAAACGTCCCCTCGCTTATAGCCACCACGTGCACCAGGCGGCTGCGGCTGATTCGCCTCTTTGCTGTACCGCGCCGCTAACACAGGTTTTGCCTATCGTCTCTGACCATGGCGCCTGACGGCCCGTGCGAGTAGGCAACCCGCACGCACGCGCGCACATGTCGCGCAGCCGTCACAGCCCAGGCGAGCCCAGTCAGCCACCTGGTGCAGCCGCCAGACTCGCGTTCCCTGCCATGACGGACCCTGGGGCCGTGCCGAGCATATCGTTTGCAAACATCCCGCTGTCTCCGGTATTGGAACAGGTGTGCCGGCAGTGGCCGTGGCGCCGGCCCTATCCGGGGCGCCCCCGGCGTGCGGCGCGGCCGGAGGGCCGCGGGGAGAGGAACACAGGCACTCGGCCGGGAGTCTATTTTGGAGCCCAGAGGCTGTAGGAGCGCAGGAGGCCGGTGCTGGTTAGCGGCCCTCGTGTGAGAGGTGCGCAGAGCTCCGGGCTGGTATCGCCTGGGCCAGGGACACCCCGAACGAGACTACTCCCTCCGCTGTAGCGCGCGTCGGCTCGCCTGCAGCCTAGCCTCAGACGGGGTGGTTTCTGGCCGGGCCGGCTCCCAGGCGATACCAAAGCGCTGTGATTGGCTGCCGCTCGGCTCCTCTGCGCACCTCTCACACGAGGGCCGCTAGTGCTGGTTGGTCCCAGAGAGGGCCTGCACCCGTTGCACCGGTTCGGGTCCTCAGCCCCGCCGCGCCTGGCCGGCGCCGAGCCCGCCGCGGGCAGTCCCCTTCCGCCCCGCCCCCTCCACTCCTCGGTCGACATACTCTGCGCCGGCTGGACATCCTGCCCAGGATGGCGGTGCAGCGGACGGCCCTGCCAGGAGCTCCTGCTGCACGGCGTCACCCGCGGCGTCCTGCGGCCCGGCGTGCGCCCGCTGGTCCGGGGAGGTCCCCGTCGCTCCTCGGCCGCGGCCAGCGCTGCGGGTTGCGCGAGGCCGACTGGCTCGGCGCGAGCGCCTGCACACTGCACTGCACTGCACTTGGCGCGCTTCCCGGCCTCGCTCCCCGCCCTGTAGGCCGGGCTGTAGTCGGTCGCGACTGCGTCTTGCGCCTCGCCCGACTCGCTCGCGGGGCCCAACGGAGCCCAAGCACACGCGCGCGCCTGTGCCTCGCCGCACTCACGCATCAACTGAGCCGGCCGGCCGGCCGCCGGGCCCCGTAGCGGCGTAGCCCCAGACAAGCACCAGCAAGCGGGCCGGCCCGAGGCCCGGCCGCCCGCCAAGCGCCCAGCCGCGCCCCGTGCCAGCGCCGGCCGCCGGCCTGCCCGGCCTGCCCGACCACAACACTTCCGTCCTATCTCTAGAACAAACGCCCAGCTGCCGCTAGCTGCCGCTGGCCGCAGGGCATGCAGCCTGCTCCTTGGCATCCTTCACCTCGGCCGGGCAGCTTTCACCCAGGCCGCGTCCCCCGTGCACTAGGCCCCCATGGCTGCGGGCGCTGCACTACTTTCCCTCCGCGGCCGTCCCCTCTAACCGGCCTGCTCGGCTCGACCCCGTCACGTCTCGTCACACGTCAGGTCACCTCCCCGTCACGGACGGTGGACCCCAGCCTCGTCACGGCGGAGGAGGCCAGTCACCCCCGCCGCAGACCTCCCACCTGTTGTTGGGTGTTGGGCATGGGGGCTCCTCTCCCCGGTTTGAATGAAGCGTGACCGGGCACGAGTGCGCGGGGCCCCGCTGTCCGTGGTGGGCCGAGCCGCGCACTCGGTGTGGGAGCCGAGCCCGGGCCGACCCGCCGCACGGCACAGAGACAATCGCTCGCGATTGTACCGCTCTGCTTAGAAGCGCACGAGATAAACCCGCTTGCCCGGGCCTCGAGCGCCCCGAGTCGTCAACGAGAGTGAGAGGAAGGAGGGGGCCGATGTGAGGGGCATCCGAGGGAGACAAAGGATTGCGGCCCCCAGACGATCTCACCACCACGCGAGCCTCACAGCCCAGCGGCGGGGCCGGGCGGGGCTGGCCCGTGAGGCTTATTTGTTTGCCCGCGAGTTCCTCCAGAGATCCAGCCGATTACTGCGAGTCGGGTGCTGTCGCTGTGCTACCAGCGGTCGCTGCAACATCAAGCGCGCCCTCGGCCGGGAGGACGCGCAGCGCCACGACCCGTCCTCGCACAACAGCCCCCCTCCCCCCC